GTGCATTCTGAGCTTCAGAAAAGCATTTTCTGAGGTGTCTGCATTGCAATATCCTGTTATTCTTCTAGCAAAACAAGGTGTATGGAGAACTACCGTATGCAAAAGGCAATCTTTTTTTGACAAACATAAAATACATCGTAAATGAAAACCCAGCGACAACGGTTTTAATACTAGCCCAGGTTTCAGTGTGCCCTCACGGGGATATAGCACAAAAGCTGGCGGCGCTTCTTAGAGAGATACTGGAGAACTCCCGAGTGACACACAAGACTCAAACGAAAGCTACAGCCGAAGACAGTAAAAAGATAGTTTAAATCAAACTCCAGAAGGTAATAGCTTTGTATGCGCCAGTAGTAGGTCACAGCTGGGTCTGCGTTGACACGTGATACATGCCTAACCCTACATGCCTTTAGTCATTGGACTCGAAGACAAGCCTTATTTATAATTTAGTTTGTGAAATATTAGTAGGCATATGGGATGCATGGTGTAATGACGATGATTATGCAAATGTCATCTGGTTCCTTGGCCTACGGTTAACAAGGGTGTCACGTGGCCAGCACAACGACCAACCGCCTTCATCCCTTAAGTAATGTGAGGTACTAACTACAGTAGGGTGGACTCAAGGCCGTCATTTTGTATTTTTAGGTGTACGAACGTATAAAGCTTTATCGAAAATGTTAAAATCTTTGTTTAAAAACTTAAAAAACTAATAATGCACAAATAATTTTTTCAGCTATGTTTGAAAGCTCTAAGCATGCATAAAATATTTTTACATCTTTGTTTGAAAACTGAGTATTAAAAAAGTATTTACAAAGCTGTCTGGCACAAACTTTACATTTTTCCCACTTCCCATTCTCGGATAAGTTAAAACTTTGCACAATTATTCACGAATCAATAAAAAAAAATTATTATTTTATCAATTGGTCATAACTAATTATGTTTTACATAAACAATACTAGCCAAGGAGAGATAAGCCTTGTGTAGAGAATTAGGTCGTCGGCTAAAAATTTGAAACTAACAATACACAACTATTTTAATAAGAACTTGTCTAGGTCAGTGGTAACGTATATACTGTCACATCAAGGAGGCTTCAGCTCTGGAGTTTTAATTCAAGTCGAGCAATTCCTGTTTTACAAAGCTTATATCAACCCTGTCTGTCTGACAGGTAAAAAGTGTGTACATGTTATTTCTCCACACCCATTCTCGGATTAAACGGAAAATTCGTACAATTATTAATTGACATAGACAAGACATGAATCAATAAAAAAAAAAAAAAAAAGTAACCAATTAGACAATAAATTACTGACAATTGATTATTTTGTTTAATAGGGAAACTAATACTTCAGTATTCACAGATATGGCTACATTTGTTGGGTTAAGTCCCCTTGAATAACTGTTAACGTTATTTCTCTCTCACCATTCAAGCTGATACTTTAAACAATTATTTGTTGTACCTAACAAAATATGAATCAATAAACAAAAATACTCAATTAGTCAATTAATTATTGATAATTAATTTTTTTTATATCGAATAAGGAAAATAACTTGTACATTATTGGTACTAGTAAAATGTATATAGATAGTGAAATACTAAAAATTAAAAACATTATTATTTAGTTCAAATGTCCATAAGGATCAATAAAGCAGTCTTAGTCTTAATCTTAGTCTTAGTCTTGGTCTTAATCTTGGTCTTAGTCTAAGTCTTAGTCTTAGTCTTGGTCTTAGGTGGTGTTCGTCTTGGTCTTAGTCTTAGTTTTAGTCTTGGTCTTAAGTCTTAATCCTATAACAAACTTTAAAACTGTAAAAAAAAAACAACTAACGTTTTCTTTTAAAAGGTGCAGTTGACAAACTCTTATACTAGAATCTGTGAAAACATGTATTAAACTGCATTCTTTTTTTTATTTTTTTATTTGCCAGAGCAATGTCACTGGTGACATCATCAAATCATAGACTGCTTAAACTGTCACGTTCTGGCGAGACTGAGGGAACTGAATTTATCTTGAGTCATTGTTGTCCTCAATTTTCTCTTCTTTAATTGTGATACCTTTGTACAGAGCTATTTGAAGCCACAACCTCCAAATAGCTTCTTCATTAGTGAATTTTGGTTGGACAATATCGTTAAAAATTACCCTATGCCCTCGACATATACTGATGTGTCAAATCGTCATGTTCTTCTGAACCATGAGTTTGACTGTCTCACATACTGATCCAATTCTTGATTTCTTATGCACTCCTTCGCGAATCTCTCTTCCACTCTCTCTCTCTTCCTCTCTCTCTTCCACTCTCTCTCCCTCTCTCTCTTCCACTCTCTCTCTCTCCCTCTCTCTCTCTCCCTCTCTCTCTCTCTCTTCCACTCTCTCTCTCTCTCTCTCCCTCTCTCTCTCTCTCTTCCTCTCTCTTCTCCCCTCTCTCTCTCTTTCGTTTTTTTTTACCTATCAACTCACTCTGTCTGTTTGTTTGTTAAAAGTTTGTACAGTTATATTTTCCCACACCCAATCTAAGATCGCGCATTGAGAAAGTTAAAAGCATGAAATAGCGCTAAACAAAAATAATACTTCAAAATAATTCTATTCGTACAGATGTGTTATTGTTAGTCTAGATCTATTACAAATTTAATTGCATGACTGATCCAAACTAATCGATACAATACACTTAATATAAGCTTTGTTTTTTTTAAAATATTTTATATTTTTTTATTTTTTTTTTATTGTAGTCTATATTGCATCCGTAACATGTATCACTGTTTTGGTTCTGAATTAGTCTCTTGGCACAAAGTTGTCAAGATCATTCTCTTCATAAAATTGTATGCTCTCTTCTGTGTCTGCTTTTCTTTTGATAAACATATGGTCCTTTTTTTTTTTTTTTTTTTGGCTTTTATTTCAAAATGATCGAACACATTCCAGGAACCATTAACAAAATCTAAATAGGAAGCAGTTTCCTACTAATTTGGGGGAGTGAGTGATTTTTGTGAACGCAAAAAAGAAAATGTACCTCACATTTTCCATACATTTCAACTACTCCATTTTATTCATAATTTGTGTTCTATATTATGATATAGTATATAGCAGGGGTGGGCAACATTTTAGTATCGAGGGCCGCATTAAAAAAAAGTTTGGGTATGGCGGGCCGCATATATCTTAGAAAGATACGCTCGCTAACTGTGAAGAATGTCTTTTAATTCATATTTACACTGTTTCTTTCTTTTTTTTTCACACTTCACGTTGAAAAATTACAACAAGAGTAAGCAGTTTTGGAAAGCAATTTTACAATTTTTTTAAATTGCTGTTGTCTTTTTACATCACAATATCCCCACAAATATACAGTTGTACTCAATGTGCAGTATTTTACTTTTTACACTTGTGCATAATGTTCCGAAACTGTGAAACGATCTTACTAGTTGTTACCCCTGTCACTGCTGTCAAATTAAAGTCAGTCAACATTGACCAGTGATTATACATGTTTAGTTTCCACAAAAAAAAAATGTTTGTTCATTGAGTGAGACAATATATGTTCCGGAAGTTAAATGTCGGGACGAGGGAAACCTGCCTTGTGGAGCATCACCAGAGAATGATGACCATGTCCTTTCATGGTGCATACTAAATCAAGAGACCCGAACAGGACTCTCCAAGGACTATTAGGAGAACTGCCTGATCTGGAAACCACTGCGCGGTTAATCTCAGATATAGAATTACTGATCTGAACCCTCCAACATGTAAAATGAGAACGAAGAAGAAGAACTGATGTATGTGTACACAAATAGTGTAAATAGCAGCAAAGGTTGTTTTTTTTAATTTTCAAAATACAGCTTCTGGCACCCATAAGACTCCCGTTGTAGTACTGACTGGAACTTCTATTTGCTTGGAGTTATGTCCTCTGGAGCTGAATCAGCTTCTGCGCTAAATAACAATTTCTTCCTTGAGATTTTATATTCTTCTCATTTGCCTTTCCCATGCTAAGCTCGCGGATACATTGGATCATTTTGTTCATTAATCGGAACTACCCGTGGTTCACATCCCTAGCTTTAAAAAGTTTCATTATTTCGTAGTATGGGATAATATAGCCTTGATATTTTTTTGCAGCTTTGTGCAAACTTTCCTGTTTAGAGTTTATGGTTGGGGATATTTTAAAAACATATGTTTTTCTCAGTCGTAGATCGAGCTCCAACAACTTTCCATAAGGATCAATAAAGCAGTCTTAGTCTTAGAAAGATCCATAGTATTATATTTAATAATTTGATAATGTCCACTACTGTGACATATGCATAACATCAACAGGGCTATTCATTTTATATTGAAGTTTTATTGAGATTTTAAATTATAGCTTCTATATAGCTCTACTTCCATGCTTATAGCATGCTCAGGGCGTTATGGTCCAATCAGTGGTGGGGAGGGGGTATCAGGGAGAAGGTTTTCCGTGCTGTAACAAACTCTGCTCGAGTCAGGTGTCGAACCTCGAGCCCCCTTCGTAGGTAGCTAAGTCAAGCGTACTCAGCCTCTCGACCACAGTCCTAAATTTTAAATTGGAGTTTTAATGAAATTTATCAACTACATTCACATGACAAACTAAAGTTTACTGACATTTGGTGCAAATGGTAATTTGTTTGTTAGAGCGTGATGTTATATTTGTCAGAGTTAGGTCTAGTCTAATTCTGGTATTGAATTTATGTAGAGGAGACCCGCAAATTGATGAATTTAAGTTTGTACTTAGTACCGGTTTGACTTTCTAAAATGACTGTCTTAAACTTGACTAGTGTCATTTAGAGCTATGACTTAAGATTTTAAGTACTTTTATTAACTTTGTTTAAATATCAAATTAGACTTTAAGCGCTGTGTGTAATATCATGTGTCGTTATTCTGTTCATCGAATAGTGCCTGTAGATTACACTCTGCGGTGTCCGTGATTTAGTGTTCAGTTATTTTAGGGAATACTCGAATATGTTACATAATTATATGCATGAAAAATGTATTTAAAAAATACACAAACAAACAAAATACAATAACTCTGTTTTGATGCGCTGCAATATAACTTTATTTCCTTACTTTAGAACATCGGATTGAATCTTTGAAAACAAAAAATGACTTCTCATTTTTCTGACACTTGGTAAATACATATCATAGTTCGATTTATAAAAATTTTGTTTTTTTTTCTTCAGGTCCTTGTGAATGACACGAACGTTTATCAATAGACTTTATTTTCGTAGCTTCCGGCTTTTCCCGCGTACTTGCCACCGGATTTCAAGACTAAACCGCTGAGGGCTTTCTGGATTTGCTCCAATAGAGAGTAGAGCGTATTGAGGGCGTCGCAGAGAAGGTTGGTTAGGTCAGCGTGTCCCTTGTAGCCGGCACCTGCAGAATAGCCGCCAGAGTAGCCGCCAGAGTAGCCGCCAGGGTAGCCGCCAGAGTAGCCGCCCGCTCCCGCGTAGTCTCTGTATGTTCGGGACTGGTCGTAGTCGCCTGCTGGTGGAACGTAGTCGCCTGCTGGTGGAGCGTAGTCGCCTGCTGGTGGAACGTAGTCGCCTCCTGGTGGCACGTAGTCGCCTCCTGGTGGCACGTAGTTGCCTGGTAGAACATAATCACCTGATGGAACATAGTTGCCTGATGGTGCATAGCCTGAGCCTCCGCTCCAGCCAGCCGCTGCTTTGTAGCCTCCATGGCCCAACTTCGGACATACTTGACGAATAAGCTTCTGAATCTGTTCAATGACTTGATTTATAAACTTCAGAAGGTCATGCAGCTGAAGGTCTGGAAGATCAAGGTTAGGAAGAAGTTTGTCTATACCTATACCACCAAGAGCAGGAGCCACTCTTTTCTGGTCATTGCCGTCGGATGAAGCATCACCGATCGACAATGCGAACAAAGCCATCAACACTGTGGCAAAGGTAAAAGCCATGCTGAGTATCAACTGTTTGACTTCAACTTGGGCTTATGATTTCCTTTAATTACAGGCTTCTGTGTATGGCATGCAAAGCTGTATTTTTAAGGTTATATATATACTAGAGCCGTGTGTTTTTGTCCACTCCAGATGTTGTTTCATTAAGAGATGGAATTATCACTGCGGTAGACTTTATCAGATTATACTACTGTTATTGTACAAAAACAACCCTCGTATCTAGATCTATACGTGTTAGTGATCTTTTGTTTTTTTGAGTTCATTCCCTATTTTATAAATACGCAAAAGGAAGAGAGGCACAGAAAAGAAACAAACGTCTTCCCCTACCCTTATACACACACACATTCTGTTCCACAATAGAACGTTAGCTAAAGGAACAGTGAAACAGCTTAAAATCTACTCCGCAGAAACAAATCAAAATCTACACCGGGGAAAACAATCAAAATCTAGTCCGCAGAAAAACTAATCAAAATCTACACCGGAAAAAAAATAATTAAAATCTACACCAGAAAAAAATAATCAAAATCTACACCGGGGAAAAAACTAGTCTAAATCTACACCAGGGAAAATCTAATCAAAATCTACACCTGGAAAAAATTAATCAAAATCTACACCAGGAAAAAACTAATCAAAACCTACACCAGGAAAAAAATAATCAAAATCTACACCGGGCAAAAAATTAGTCAAAATCTAAACCGGGAAAAAATAATCAAAATCTACACCGGGAAAAAAATAATCAAAATCTACACCGGGGAAAACCAATCAAAATCTACACCAGGAAAAAAATAATCAAAATCTACACAGGGGAAAAAACTAGTCAAAATCTACACCAGGGAAAATCTAATCAAAATCTTCACCGTGGAAAATCTAATCAAAATCTTCACCGGGGAAAACAATCAAAATCTACTCCGCAGAAAAACTAATCAAAATCTACACCGGGAAAAAAATAATCAAAATCTACACCAGGAAAAAAATAATCAAAATCTACACCAGGAAAAAAATAATCAAAATCTACACCGGGCAAAAAACTAGTCTAAATCTACACCGGGAAAAAACTAATCAAAATCTACACCAGGAAAAAAATAATCAAAATCTACACCGGGCAAAAAACTAGTCTAAATCTACACCGGGAAAAAAATAATCAAAATCTACACCGGGGAATAAATAAATAATTAAAATCTACAAATCGAAATTTACAACGAAGAAAACAAAATCATGTGTTCATGTATCTCAAAGAGTTACTACACACCCCGTCATAGCGTGATTATCGTAATATTAGAGAACTTAACAGAAAAAAAAAAAAGTAAAAAAAAAACAACAAAGCTCATCTATGATGAAGAACTCCGCATTTACAACTATATCTCTCTATAATGTAGAGGTTATTTCGCTTATTCGATATCAAGTCAAATAATTAATTACTAATAATTAACTGACTTATTGGTATTTTTTTTTATATTCATGTTTAGTTGGAAACTAAAATTAATTGTTTAAAATGTTAACATGATCCGAGATTGGGTATTGGAGAAATAACTTTTTTTTGTCATGTGCAAGTGCCCGTTTTGGCCTGAGATAATACCCCCTTCTCACCAAGCCATCGTCATGGGTGCTACCCCACGTGACGATCAGGCAACCAAACAGATTAAAGAGCAATGTACGAAGAAATCAAAACTATTTTGGTCGATTTGATTGGTCAATCTTAAGAGTAAATGAGGTCACTCACTACCCGTTTTCAAGCTGAAAATAAATTATAAATGCACTGAATAGTATTAATAAATTGTACAGGATGTCGGGAATTTGCGGACGGCAATAGAGAACTTGTTAATTGAATATTATTTCCCTTTATTTAATATTCATATTTTATTTAAAAGAAATTATATATTTTTTTTAAAGCGGTGAGGCCTCGCATAGGGGTAAAAAAAATCTTGGATTAAATCTCAACACAACAAAGCTCCATTACTCAATGCCTGCTGGATAAACTACCCGCCTTTACTTTCCCCATAGTATGTCAGGTACTCATTAGAGTTGCTTAGACTCAGGGTTGCCGGGATTCGAACCCGAGACACCTCGCTTCGGAAGCCAAGCGCTACTTATTTTACCACTCAGCCATTTGTATTAGTAACTATGATGTCCTCACCTGAAGGTAATCAACACAACTTTTCTTGTACATATCTCCTTGAAACAAAATAGTTATGTTCACTCTGTAGTTCTGTGGCGCCTCAATCAGCCAGATACAGAACAGTCGATTGCTCGCTACGTCCGGATACTCTGGATGGACGATATGGCCAACTTCTGACTGAGATATCTTGTAATAATCTCCACAAGCTGAAATACAGACGAAATTGTAAAAAGTTCTTGGTTTTTCGTGTTTTTATTAAAAGATGATATCAAATCGGTCTGTCTTTCTATCTGGTACAAGTCTTATACACGTTATTTCTTCCACTTCCGATTCTCGGATCAAGTTGAAACTTTGCATAATTATTGAATGTCGAAGACAATACATGATTAGAATACTGGATCTAGTATTTATTGGCCTCCTTCAGTCGTAGAAAAACTATGGTTCATTTCGAACACTTTTTCGTTTGGCTGTGGAGCCCTGTTTTGGAGAGACACTCCTGTCCACATATATCGCAGGTCAAGGTGGCTTTCGCTTTGGTGATAGAGGAGATGGCCATTTTTTCGTATGGCACGCTTTTCTTCAAGAGCTGAGTCCCATGTTTTTTCGCTGTCCATAGCTTTCTTGGTCACCGTCTCACTCAAACTAGTGCGGCCTAGGGCTATATATGTATTTAGTAACAAATATAGTATTGATATTGTACATTGATGATTGTATAATTATCATGAAAATATCAAATAAATGTATATTGTCACAAATTAGTTCTAGTAGTCTATAGAATACAATGCTCAAAATGTTACTGAACTTCATTTATTCAACTCTGTAATTAATACATGCGGGAATAACCACTGACTCGTGTTCAAATAGACCACATTTATTAATTTAAAGATGATTATATATCTTGAAAAATTAGAACGGACAAACCAGAGTTTTCCCTGTATGGCCAATTAGCTAGTATGTTTTTTCCAAAAGTTATACATACACTGAAATTTTGTTAGAAAAATAGCAAGAGCCGTTTTCGAAATCTGTGTCTAGGTTCCACCCATGAATCAGTCAGCTAATAAGAGTAATTGTAATAGAAAGCATGACAAATAAGGCAATAATAATACACTTTATAAATTCATATAATTTTTAAAAAAATCTTATAAAGACGTTATACAGACGGTACTTCTAAAAAGAAGATGTTTACGCGCGTGACCGCGTCCCAAGTCAATCTTGTCATCAATGACTTAAACTTTAAGCCCTTCCAAGTTGTTGGTTGTCCTGGCTGATTCAGACAACCCATTCCATGCTCTAAGATCTGTATAGATCCGTCCAAGCATATGGATCAAGAAATGTGTCTTTATCTTTGTGTCAAGTATTTTATTAGGTTTTGTTTTTGTATTTGAAAATTGTGGTTCAAAGGTTTATGTTCGGGAACCAAGCGCTTTAGGCTACCTCTCAGCCACCACGCCTTCTGTTAACCAAGGTTAAAAAATATATTCTGAATAGTAGACTGAATATGAAGCTTGAAACTTATTAAATGAATAGACATATTTTTTTTTCGGACACTGAAACAAGCTCGTCTCCTCTATCTTTATTTTTTCAAACAGAGAGAAAGAGAGAGAGAGAGAGAGCGAGAGAGAGAGAGGGGGGAGAGAGAGGAGAGCTGGGCCATGTGCGGGGCCGAGGCGACATTAAAACTCACACATTCTTACTTTCTTTCACGAGTGATCAGCATGATCTTTTACTAATGGGGTTTCTGATACGGCAACCTTGACGAAATTAGAATAGACAGAGACTGATGTCAAAAATAATACAACAGAGGCGATCAGGTATTCAATAGCAAAGATTAAACGCACACATGTGATATAAACTATTTTAATCAATAGAACAAAATTCCAACTACTAACAGTGCACACAATTTTTAAAGCATTTTTTTTTACCTGGTAAATGTACCATACTTTTGAAAGATAACCCAGACGCGTCTGTAAAACAAAAAATAAAAAAGAATTAATTGTATAAGCTACTATAAATTAATCTTTATTTAGCTACAGTTAGTAAAAAATGATCACCCGAGTATTTTATGAGAACCCATTTCCGAAAACAACTATTGTAAAACTTAAAAAATAATAGATAAATTTAATTTGGTTTGCGCTGTTAAGAAACATAATGTAGGCTCAAGGCGCTATGATAACATCACAGACATAAACACAAGAGTTCAAAAGACAAATCAATCTAAAAAAAAAAATATTTTGAACAAATAGGTCTTATATACTTCTTAAAAATAGTGAAACACGTTCTTTGTCCTAGCTCGGTGGGGAGCGAGTTCCTAACTGGTCAAAACCCTAACTCTTGAAAGAGAAACACAGCAAAAGAAGCGTTGAGTCCGTGGAGCACAGGGACATAGAGAGTGAATGCTTGAATGTGTCTGTGTGTGTCTGAATGTGTCTGTAATGTGTCCGAATGTGTCTGCCAACAACTACGTGAATGTGTGAATGTAAGAGTGTGTCTGCGACCTGTGTGTGTGTGTGCGTATGTCTGCAGCCTGCATGTGTGTCAGTGGCGTAGCTAGGGTGGGAGGAGGTGGTGTCCAAAGTCGAGTCCCGCCGGGCCCGCACTTAAAAGGGGGGGGGGGCCCTAAATGAATGTCTTAAATTTTCTTTTACATTAAATATTACGCCACTGTCATGTAATCTTGCTATTCACGTGGAGTCAAAAATACTAACTAGACTAAAAACATAATAAAAGTAATCTAGAACCTCTTCAAGGAGACCACTTTTTCGGTGTACTTCAACAATAATATTGAGGACTTGGAGTGACACAAGGCTGCTTACTCTCGCCAACACTTTCCAAAATCTTCCTTGAAAAGATAATGGAAGATGCTCTCGAGGGCTATGAAGGTACTGTAAGCAATGGAGGAAGAAGAACCTGCGCATCGCGGATGACATTGATGGCCTAGCAGGGATAGA